CTTTAAACCGCATAAACACATTTCATTACACCAAATACACAAAATAATGTTCTTTTTAGCAGCATCATATGACCCCTTTAATACAACGTTAGTTCCACACTGAACATTTGTCTAATGTTTTTTAAATGTAACAATTGTTTCAGCCTTCAGCAAACATTCAAACGTAACATTCTCATAGCAAAGTGATCAAATGTAACATTCCCTTAATGTTTTCTCTGACTTTCACATAACAAAGAAAAACGTTTTTAAAACATTTACGTTCTAAGAACATTCATTATGTTTTCATAATATAATTGGAACGCTAGTAAAACGTTCTCAGAGCATAGCTAGATAGATGTGGCTGTGTGCGGTGTGTAATGAATGAGGGAGTCGTTCTTCACGTGCTGATGCTGATGCTGAGATCCTCCTCCTCCTCCTCTTCATCCCGGTCGAGCGCTCGCCGGTTCAGATGCGTTCCGCCGCTCCGGTTGGACTCCGCGCTGCTCCCATTTTGCTTGTAGTTTTCCGCATCATTTCCAGGTCAGAGGCGCGGCTTCCTGTGCGGACTGAAGATGGCCGCAGATGGAGGCGCTCTGAAGGATATCAATGAGATTAAATCGCAGTTCCGGACCCGCGAGGGATTCTACAAGCTGCTCACCCTCTCGGACTCTCAGCAGCGGGCCGGGCTGCCGCGGGGCCCCTCGGCGGGCGGCGGCGCCGGTGTTGGGCTGGTGCAGGGGCCCGGGGCCGCCAACTCCTCTCCGGGCTTCCTCCCGCCGGTGCGGGTGTCGATGGTGAAGCTGAAGCCCGAGGATCCCAGCGAGGATTCGGAGCGAGTGTGCTTCAACATCGGCAGGGAACTTTACTTCTACACCTACACGAACATCAAGAAGGTACGAGCGTCTCGATCTGATGCGTGATTCGGTTTGAATGACAGACAGATTCGGATCTGAGCGCGTCAGTGTAACCGCGAGATTCGCTTTGTTTACATCCCCCCAGCTAACAAAACTATGTTCTGAGAACGTTTAGCTAACCTTGCCATAAGTTGTGAAAACGTTACCCGAACGTTCAAAACCAAACCTCCAGATTTTAACATGTTTTTTCTTGGTTAAGGGAACATTTCATTTAAATCATTATGGGAACGTTGCTTTTGAATGTTCTAGTAGTAACATTTCATAAAACATTAGCTGAACATCCCACTGAAATAAAACCGTTCCATGATTGTTGTTGTTGTGCTAACGTTTTGAGAACATTATTAAAGACCCAGATAATTTGAATGAACGTTCCATTAATGTTACTGCTGCGTTTGTTCATAATTTACAGAGAACCTTGCTAGAACGTTTAGAGAGCGTTTCCTGTGTATGCGTGAGATCCAGAGAATCCCATATGAATCTGTCTGCAGTCATTATGTGTTGATATGTGTGCGAATGTGACTAATAATGACACTCGTTATGTTTACGTGATTTTTTCAAAATTATTCTAAAGCTAATGTAAAACAGCTTTCCTGTAGATCACAGCGTTAGTAATGCAAAGGTCATGGGTTCGATTCCCAGGGAAATGCATCAACTGAAACTCTAAATGCTGTGTAAGTTACTTTGGATAAAAGCATCTGCCAAATGCATAAATATAAATCCATGTGACCATAAAGAATGACTTTTCATCTGCACTCTGAGCCAATGGGATTTAAGTGTTTGGCTTTTATTTTATTTGTTCGTCACAGACTCTGTCCTGTTTTTTATTGCATGTACATGAAAAGAGAAAAAATGCACATTTTAACAAACAAGATTTCACTCTAGAGTTTGTGACAGTCGCTATTTAAATGCTAATATATATAAAATACTTCCAAAATAATACAATGATCTTATCCTTTCATACTGTATATATTAATTAGGTTTATTTTAATTAACTAAAAATAAAACAATAAAAAAACATTTATTACATAAATAAAAAAAACATTAACTGAAATAAAATATAAAAAAACTTCAACTTATTTTATTTCAGTTGCAAAAGCAACATCTCTCATTTTCATTTAATTTAACCTGAAGTATGTAAACATGTAATACATTTTTAGTATAAGAGCAATACCTTTTTTAACAAATGTAACACTAGTGTACCAGTGTTTTTTGCTTTGTTTAGCATTAAAAGTTTGTCTTGTACAGCCAATTTTTGCATGTATGTAAATATAGGTTATGGTTTCCTCTGTTAAATCATTGTGCAATAAAACACTGTCTACATAAAACAACTTCAGATATGACAATGCATATTTGAAGTTAACTATAATTAACAGATATAGGAAAGGACAAGATCACTGTATTTTGGAAATATTATATACATTTGTAATCAAATAGTGATTCTCACAAACTCTAGTGAAATCTGAACAACTGAGAGATTCTTTGTTAAAAAAAAATGCAAACCACAACGTCGCTTTTTATGTGCATACAATTACATGGTTACATGCTAAAATAAAAATCTAAAACTTTATAGACATTAAAGCAACTAATTTTAATAAAAATTATTGAAAATTAAAATAAATAAAAATGACAAAAAACAACAACAAAAAGACAAATTTAAATGAAAATGGAAAATATAAAAGCATCTTAATGACAGAAATAACATTGCTCTTTCTGTGTGTGTGTGTATCTGTGTGTGTTTGTATCTGTGTGTGTATCTGTGTGTGTATCTGTGTGTGTGTGTGTGTATCTGTGTGTGTATCTGTGTGTGTGTGTGTATCTGTGTGTGTGTGTATGTGTGTGTGTGCAGGCAGTGGATCTCAGTAAGCCCATAGACAAGCGCATCTATAAGGGAACTCAGCCCACCTGTCATGACTTTAATCAGTATTCGGCCACGGCTGACAGCGTGGCTCTGATCGTGGGCTTCTCCGCAGGACAGGTGCAGTACCTCGACCCCATCAAGAAGGAGACCAGCAAGCTCTTCAACGAGGAGGTGAGCAGATGAGCCTGACTCATGCACATTCACACCTGATGAAAACATCTGTATCAGATGATCAGTGAACCGGATCACCAGTCGTTCAAAAAGTTCAATCTGGATCAGAATGATTGGTTTTGTGATCCAGGATCAGGTAACCCATCTTACTTCTGTGCCGGTTTTTCAAAGCAAAATTGGATTGGATCACCCTGATCCAGATACACACTTTTCCAGATTTCCAAATCTGGATTACTAGTGCTCTACGGAGCCCCTAAAGGGACATGCTGATGGAGAAAAAAAATAAGCTGGGGGAAAAAAAGCCAATGTTTTGCATTGCATTTACACAAATAACTACTTCTGACTGCTCCATCTCTGATGATTGTGACGGTTCAGGAGCGTTGATCTTCAAGAGGAGGAATTTAGAGACGCAGTTTCCTCACCTGTTCTCTGAATGTTATCATTTATAAGTTATGTCCTACATGTCCTATATGTCCTACATGTCCTTTTTGTTTTCTCAATGTTTCCATTCTTATTTTGTGTTGTGTTTTCTCATTGTGTTATATTTTGTTTTTCACTTGTGCTTATGTTTGTCATGTTTGTTTATTATACTGATGTTCTTCTTTTCTAATTGTATCTTCACTGTAAAGCGACCTTGAGCACTGGAACTGGATGGGATCGCCCTGATCCAGATACACACTTTTCCAGATTTCCAAATCTGGATTACTAGTGCTCTACGGAGCCCCTAAAGGGACATGCTGATGGAGAAAAAAAATAAGCTGGGGGAAAAAAAGCCAATGTTTTGCATTGCATTTATACAAATAACTACTTCTGACTGCTCCATCTCTGATGCATGTCCTATATGTCCTACATGTCCTTTTTGTTTTCTCAATGTTTCCATTCTTATTTTGTGTTGTGTTTTCTCATTGTGTTATATTTTGTTTTTCACTTGTGCTCAGTGTTGGGGAAAGTTACTTTTTAAAGTAATGCATTTCAATATTGCGTTACTCCCTAAAAAAGTAACTAATTATGCTACTTAGTTACTTTTTATGTAAAGTAATATGTTACGTTACTTTTGAGTTACTTTTTAAATCTGGGCGGGGCTTCCGTGTTTGTTTTTAATATAAAAAGTTCTTCTTTTACAAATATAAAAGCCCTTTCACACCAAAAGTGAAATGAATGCGCCTCAGGCTGAAGGAAATGTAAATTCACGTCTGTACAGTAGAGGGCGCAGCTCAAACATACTACATGAAGAATATGACGCAGGAGAAGAAAGTTCAACACTATTCAACAATAACACAAATCAAACAGAAATGTGTCATTTCTGCTTATTAGTATGATTGAATTGGATCATCGAAGGTCAGTAGCAAAGACATTGGTTCATAAAATGGGATTAAATACATAAACAATATTTGTCTTATTTAACATATTTAAGTATTGCAGGTTTGTATAATATTCTGAGTTTGCATTTGACTGTTTTTATTCATTTCGAGGAACGCTGAATCTGTTTTTGTGCAGTGAGATGAGTAAACACATGTTCATATTTAGTCTAGAACTACAGTAAGATCATGTTCACACACAACGCTCTGCACTTACTCCTGATTTCTGTCACCATGGCAACACCAGAGCTGTCACTCAACACATGGAAACAAAGTAACGCGTTACTTTAAAAAAAAATGTAACTCCGATATTTCCTTCTAAATTTAAAATTAATGCTATACTTTACTAGTTACTTAAAAAAGTGCTTATGTTTGTCATGTTTGTTTATTATACCGATGTTCTTCTTTTTTAATTGTATCTTCATTGTAAAGCGACCTTGAGCACTGGTGCTATATAAATTAAAACTTCTTCTTCTTATTATTATTCTCTCCCCAGAGGCTGATAGATAAATCGAAGGTGACGTGTCTCAAGTGGCTTCCGAAGTCGGAGAACCTCTTCCTCGCGTCTCACGCCAGCGGTCACCTCTACCTCTATAACGTGGAGCACCCATGTGGCACCACCGCGCCGCAGTACTGTCTGCTCCGTCAAGGCGAGGGCTTCGCAGTTTACGCCTGCAAGACCAAAACGCCCCGTAACCCGCTGCTCCGCTGGGCAGTTGGCGAGGGAGGGCTTAACGAATTTGCCTTCTCGCCCGACGGCGTTCATGTAGCCTGCGTCGGTCAAGACGGCTGCTTGCGCGTTTTTCACTTCGACTCGATGGAGCTTCAAGGCGTGATGAAGAGCTACTTTGGTGGGCTTCTCTGCGTCTCCTGGAGCCCCGATGGGAAGTATCTCGCAACGGGCGGAGAAGACGATTTAGTGACGGTTTGGTCGTTCGCAGAGAGTCGCGTCGTCGCGCGCGGACACGGCCACAAGTCGTGGGTCAACGTCGTCGCGTTCGACCCGTTCACGACGAAACTGGAGGACGAGGAGCCGATGGAGCTCAGCGGCAGCGAGGAGGATTTCCAGCAGGGGGCGCTGCAATTCGGCCGCGTGCGAACCAGCAGCACGCTCTCGCGACTTTCGCGGCACAGCTCCAAAGGCGGAGCTTCGTCCGTGTCGTACCGCTTCGGATCGGTTGGGCAAGACACGCAGTTCTGTTTGTGGGATCTGACGGACGACGTTCTGTATCCGCGGCTTCCGCTCTCCCGCGCGATTACGAATACCTTCGGTCCTACGATCACGAGTGGAAGCAGCGGAGTCGAAGGTCACCATCATCCCTCAAACCCTCATCAGACGTCGACGTTGCCGCTGCCTTTGCCTCGCTCGCTGTCGCGCTCCAATTCCCTTCCGCATCCCGCCGTCGCAAACACCTCCAAAAGCCAGGGGGCGACGGAGAGCAGCGTTACGAGCGGCGGAGGAGGAGGAGGAGGCGGAGGAGGTGGAGGCGGAG